GATTAGACCGTTAGCATCTCGCTCGAAAATGACCAAAGAGTTTCTATATTTTTCCTATTTAAAACTTGACTCTTCTGTAGTTACATCGTGTACTAAGACCGACAGAAAATGAAAAGTTGCGATTTTCTAGGCCGATATGGCTAGGAACTATACTCTCATTCCGGCGTAATAATCAAGGAACTTTGCTGCCGTACCATGGGTTGGATCCCCAGAAAATAGTCCCCAGCTAGGTAACTTCCAACGGAAAGTGCACGCTCCCTGTGCAAGCAGGAGGTCACGTTGGTTATGTTGGCTGAAGTTAGCCTATTTTCAGGCGCTGCACAATATCATCAATAATCGCAACTTTTAATTTTCCATTGGTCTTAGTACACGATGTAACTACAGAAGAGTCAAGTTTTAAATAGGAAAAATATCGAAACCCTTTGGTCATTTTTGAGCGAGATGCTAACGGTCTAATCAGATTCAATTATCTATGCTAAGCTACAGCTATAAGTGCTACCGCCAGACCCGGAGATCGGCTGAATGGATTCAAAAACGGTAAAACTCAACAGTTTAACTCTAGGGGAGTTGGAAAATGAAAATAATGGAGTTTTCCTTTAATGATGTGTCAGAGGTAGGAAAGTTAGAAGAACAAATGAAAGAAATTAGAACATTTCAAAACAAGTAGCTTACAGTAGATTCTTTTTTTTTTCTTTCTTTTTTTTCTCGTTTGACATTGATAGAGGAAAAAGAGGAGAATATGCTGAAAACAGCTTCGCCGAAACGATCTGACAAGCAGAGAAATAGACAGCCAGCTGAAGACAAAACGGAGCAAAATTTTAACTCCTCCAAAAACACTTAAATTCATTCAGAAACTGTCTTGTAACTAAAAAAAAAATAGTACATGTATATAATTTATGAAGATGTAGACAATAAAAATAGAATCAAAGCTACATTTGCCATGTATGCGCTCAGGTAGATATGACTGTGAGAGGGTGTTTGTGGGATGTGCTAAAGCTGGGATGCTTATTGTCAGGATGGTGGCTATGAGATGAGTGTTAGGGTCGGGTAAAGTAGGACTGCATTGCTGTGGAGAAACCGGTTTAAGTGGTCTGGTCTAATGCTCTTAGGAGGTCACTGCCCTGCAGCAAATGAAGATTGCCTTGCAACGGGACGTTGCCCTCGCAGTCGTAACGCGTCAGTTCAGGCAGAAAGTAGGTCTCAAAGGAGGGCCCGATAAGACGACTCACGACTCCTGCAAACAAAAGCGGTTCTGAGAATCAGCATCCACAGTGCATGACGTACGTAAGTGCAGATGTGTCTGTGTCAGTTCAGAGCTCACCATCCATTTTGGAGGAAGGCTGCATGTTGAACTCTCTGTAGTTACAGCACTGTTCTTGATGGCGTTTTGTCGCCTGTCCGGCCTGATTCCCCGAATACTGGGTCTTCCTGTGCTGCTGGTCCATGCCTCCATTATGGGCCATGTCTTTGTCTAGATAGAAATACATTTGTGACCCTGGACCACAAAACCAGTCATAAGGGTCAATTTTTTGAAATTGAGATTTATACATCATCTGAAAGCTGAATACATAAAATTTCTATTGATGTATGGTTTGTTAGGATAGGAGAATATTTGGCCGAGATACAACTATTTGAAAATCTGGAATCTGAGAGTGCAAAAAAATCTAAATATTGAGAAAATAGCCTTTAAAGTTGTCCAAATTAAGTTCTTAGAAATGCATATTACTAATCAAAAATTAAGTTTTAATATATTTACAGTAGGACATTTACAAAATATCTTCATGGAACATGATCTTTACTTAATATCCTAATGATTTTTGGCATAAAAGAAAAATCAATCATTTTGACCCATACAATGTATTTTTGGCTATTGCTACAAATATACCCCAGCGACTTAAGTTTTCTGGTCCAGGGTCACATTTGATTCACAATTGGTGTTGGTTTTGTCTGCAATACAGCTGCTAAAAAATGTGGCCTTGAGGATTTTTAAAAACCATGAACTAAACCAACCAGCTACAAGGTGAATCACAACATTACAAACATTGATTTAAAGCAAAAACATATTTGAGGTACGAGAGTGTGCAATTAACTGCTTTAATGAGGGAAACAACTACAAGTAGTCTGACAGAGTAAGGAGACGTCATTTATAGTGCTTCATGGGAGTTGTCGGGCACTAAAGTGTTCTTTTGACACAATTTACTTGTCGGGATTCTCTGATTGGTGGAGATTTCTCTGCA